TCTTGTAGATCGAGCATCTGAATTCAATACTGATCGACCAATTCGAATGAAAGAAGAATACATCATATCATCAAGAGAAATAGCCTACGTAGGAAACATCAAACACCAAGTTCATATCTGTGACAATCAATCTGGTATAAGGGCAAGTTCTGCGACCGCCTAACCGTGACGCGGCCGAAGCGGCGCGCCAGGCTGAATTTCCCGAGCAAGGCCGTTGGTTCAATCTCGCCGCGGCAACCCAACACTAAACTTATCGCCATCCGCCAAAGAACCGGAGGGCGACACTTTTCGCTTCTGCCTCGCTTGCCAACCTCCGCGGTTGACAGTGTTCCCTCTTTCTTCACTCAATCCCCCACCTCCTTGTTCAGGCTGGGTTAACTACTAGTATCTCCGATGGATCGACCCCACCCGTGGTGATTGCAACTCGACCTGGAAGCCCTGTCCTCTCTCCTCTCCTTTCCTTTCTCCTTAAACCACGTTGGCCGTTGCCGCAACCCCGTTCACCCTCCCCCAGTAAGGCCTTAAGCGACGTGACACACCTTACTTCCTCATGGTCTTTTCTTGTTACAGATCCTTAATCAGTCCTTGAATATACTTGCCTCCAGGTGACCGAAACGGTCACCGGATCTGCACCCTGCTTTATAACAACCGTTGAAAATCTGCAATATACAGTCATCGGGTAATCGCCCTGCAAATCACTTTGCCAATGGAGGGCGTACGCCAGTCATGTCGGCCAAAGCATCAGGTCTTGGTTCTGAAATGCTTTCCACAATACCAGAAGGGGATTCCGGAAGTCAAGCCGAATCCGAGTGAACTTTCCTATCTGCTCTACTATGCGAGCACTCGTCGCAGCAAGCTGACCAAGGTCGGCGCTTTCCTGGAGAAACGGGCCGCTCGGGATGTCTGGCGCCGCAAGATTGGGTATGTTGTGAGGACTAGATTCACTTGGGCGATCACTTTAGATGACGGGCTGACATGTTCTGGTAAAGCAATGTACAGGTGACACTTCAGATTCTCACCGCGCTTATCGAGAAAGTGCCCCGCGACCTCCCCATTTACGCCCGCTCCGTGCTGACGGTAATCGAAACCGTCCTACGCTCCCGTGATATAACAATCGTTGAAGATTCGATCGCGACCTTTGAAATGTTCTGCCGCCATCAGGATATGGCGGCGTTGTCGGCCGAACAGGACTTTGCGACACAATACCGCGAGGTTGTGCGGACGTATGCGAGCTTCGCTGAGGTGCATTCGCCCCAGTTGGATCCTGCTTCTAGCGGCCCTGCGGCGATACGGTGGCGCAGTGCGGGACTTCGTGCGATCAAGGGAGTGGTCAGTTCCGAGGCGGGCTTGGCTGCCGATGGTGGAGATTCGTTGAGGATCATATTGCCGGTCATTCTGGAGAACGTTTGCCACGGAGATGAGGATGTTATCCCGTCTCTGGAACAGCAGCTTATGGAATCGGAGAAGAGCAGTGAAGCCGATCTTGCGCACCGGCGCCGAATTAGCAACGCTACCGTGCAGACTGTCGACACCGCGACTGGTGATCCGGCCTTGGCTTCCCAGTCCGCGGCTGATGCAGACAAGAAGGCGGAAATGGATGTGAGGCTGCTCGCTCTCAGCTGCCTTGAGCGCATTGTTGTTACTGGAAGCAGCCGCGGTCAAATTCGTGTGACCACGAAGGTTGTATTGGACTTCATGCTCCGCAGAAACCGAACCACCAGCTTGGGCTTGTCCTTGAACTCGCGTGATAGCTGGGCTACGTCGTTGATTGAACTGGTCGCGAAGTGGTGCCCGGTGCAGGTCCGGTTCATCATCTTGGTTGCCGCCATGGAGCTTCTATTCGATGTCAACCCTAGAGAGGAAGCCCTAGATGAACCTTTCATCATCGTTTACATGATTGACTGGTTGCTGAAGTCTCCTGTGAACATGATCGGTCTTAGCGTTATCGATATCCTTTTGGGTCTTCTGCAGCATATGTCGTTTTTGCTGTCGCCTGCGGGTTCGGAGAAGCAAGTCGAACTATTTGGGAAGAGAGCAGATTTGATCACTCTCTTCCAGCGGTGCATTGGAGACCTTACGACACATATCTACTATGGCGATCAAGTTGTAGATATGATTAGAGTTGTTCTGACTCGGATCAAGCCTTCATCCACCCACGAACATCCTGCACAAGTTTCTAACGATTCTCCCGGAGCTGCTTCGCAGGCTGGCAGTCTAACTGGGGAGGCCAGTTCGATCGCGTTTTCTTCCACTACTGGACGGGTTGCCGCTCTTAGAGCTATCAAAAACATTCTGATAGTAGCGAACTCTCGGAATCCCGCAGCTGTATCTGGCGTGGAGTCCAGGAACCATGTCGGAATCCACGTCTGGGAAGGGACGCAGTGGTTGCTGCAGGAACGTCAAGGCGATGCGCGTTACGCATATGCTGATGCGTTACTGTCCTGGTTGAAACTCGAAACAAATCAAAGCGACTTGACCGTCAAGGATAAGCACGCAAAACCCTCAGTCTCTAAAGGAGAACTAACGGATGTCGGCGAGAGGACTGGAAAGCGATCAGTGTCTACGGCGATGCAGAGAGAGAAGGCTGCCATAGCAGCTCAATTTAACTTCCTCCGAATGCTCCACCTGACTATTTATGACATCGCGCTTGAGAGTCCGACTAGCATTTCTGAAATCAGGTTGCTTCATTTGATCTTGGCCAGCCTTGTTGATAAGCTCGGGGTCAACGCCGCCCGCTTTGGACTGCCTATGGTGCTGAAGCTTCAAGATGACATGAACAGCGCTCCAAGCCTGGCATCCGGTTCTGCCAAGGTCAATATCGGAAGCTTGGTGTATGGATATCTGTGGGCCTTGTCTGAGCGATTCGAGCTGAGATCGACAGAGGTAGGCCAGGCCATTCAAGGAGAGATCTCCAAGAGGCAACAGCTTGGCCTTTGGCTTGACCCTATCCGCTTGCCCGCCGCTGATCTCGAACAAATCCTACAAGGCGAAGTTCATCGTGCCACCGGTAACACCACGAACACTGATCAGATGACTCCCTTTATCACCGACGTTGAACACCTTGTTCGTGGCATCGAAGATGCATACAACCATGCCGCGCTCGTCTCTTCTCACAGCCCTCCGGGCTCCCCAACGCGCAGCTTCACTATGCCTATCCTGGGACATGGATCGGTTTCAGCTCCGCGCGGTGATCTTCTTCCTCCACTCGTTAGGGAGCAGATGCTTTCGGCATGGTCCCGAGAATCATGCCTTGCAGCCGCGGAGCGGGAGAGGACCGAAGCATTGTCCCTCAATGGCTCCAAGGCCGGAACAATGGCGATACGCAGTCACATTTACCTGAATGGCGCAGATGGCAGTTCGCCATCGACTACCTCGCCTCCATCCGCGCAGCAAAGTGCAGCCGGACTGCACAACTCGCGGCGGATGAGCGTCCCCGAATCTGCCCGGGGGCACGTTCAGAGCACTAGCAGGGAGTCCCCGGTTCATATCAACGACCTGCGTCGTGTTCTTTCCATCAACGATCAGGACAAGATGCGCCGGTTGAGCCCGCTACGTGGTCGGCTGGATACTTCCAACCGCAGCGTGGTCTCGTCTAGCAGCGAGAGCATGGTCAGCGGTTATTCCTTGTCTGAGATTGACGGAGACGGAGCTTCGATCAGGCCTCAGTCGACTAGGGATGGACACGGTCTTCCGGACGGCGACGGCATGGTGACTCCCAAAGCTTCCGCCCTAGGATACACAGAGAATGGCCAAGCCTACTTCATGGCCGCAGACGATATTCCCCCTGTGCCCCCGATTCCCCCGTCCTTGTCGGTCACCGGAGGCATGTCGAACGACTCGCAGCGATCCCTGGCCTCAGAGCGACCATCCACTGCACCAGGGCCGCGTCGGCTGCCAACAGCAAACGGCAAGCCCGGCACACCTGCCGCACCTCACCACAGCAAATCTCTCAACAAGCACAAGAGCCGGTCCAGCACGGGTCTCGCAGCTGCAGCGGCTGATGGGGACTACTCCAGAGGCCATGTCTACGACGGGGTGCCAGACCTGTCCGAGCCAACGGACAGTGCCCAGCGCCGTGACGTGCAGAACCTTCTGAACGGGTTCTTGTCCCCGGCACATGCAGAGTCGCAGTCGCGCCCCGGCAGGCCCCGTGGTGCTTCTCGACGGGGCATTACTGGAGGAATCGGCCGTCCGCCTTATTGATGATGTATCCTCCTTAAAAGAACTACTCTCCTTCATACACTTTTCTTTCCTATTTCCGACTATTGCATTTGCATTACTTACTTCCATCCATCCGGGTCTTCCACCAGGTTGTTCGAGTCATGATCGTCGAGGCCCATGATATATCCCAACTTTTCATTTGCTTTCAACAACCCTTTCTTTCCTTTTCTTCCTATCTGAACATTTCATTCCTTGTGCCAAATACTTGCCTGCTACCAATTACTACCTAACCTTTTTCTCCTTTGTTGTTACTTACTACTACGAGTACCACCACTTATATGTCTGTCTCACTATTACCACGCGCATGCGTCAGGATGGATGATGCATCGTCTATTTTGCATGATCATTAATAATGGCGTCTGCGATGGATTAAACTGACGGACTGTGATTGATTGATTTGATAGAGCTGTACTGCGTACACTACTTGCTTGCTTACCTACTTACTACATGCGGTATTCTCGTCATTTCTTATTGCTGTTGTTGTTGTTGTTATTGCTGGCTACTGTATCTTTTCTCTTATCTCATTTTTTTTTTGGATATTACCTGCTGCTGCTTCTGCTGCTGCGAATTCATTTACTTGTTTCTTTATTAGCTTAACCTTTCATGTTCGTTTCCAGTGGGTTCCTTCTCTGGCTGTGATGATATCCCGATGTAAGCATAATGGATTGCAGCTTAGTACCAGTGTGCATTTGCATGTATTTAATACTAGTACCATCATTGCATTAGTGCTACTAGTAGTATAAGTTACTACTAGTAGTAAAGTAGTAGAATAGAAATTATAGCGAAAGCGAAGAATTGAAGACAGTCTGAACCTGAACTGAACTAAAGGCTTGAACCAACCGGGTATAATATATAATATTACTCCGTAGTAGCGCCGCGACTCTTCCCCTTCTACCATCCTCATTTTCCTCAAGAAAAGCAACGCAACGCAAAGCGAAAGAAGAAGAAAGAAAGAATCAAATCAACCAATACTAGTAGTAGTAACCTCCCTGGCTCACCAACCTCGCCCTCTCATCTATCTCGACCTCAACCTCATCATCAGGAATCTCCACCTCGATGGGTCCCAAAAACTCTCTGAAAATGTCCACCAGCTCCTCCTCATCAAACTCCATATGCCCGCCCTTAAGTGTCCTGAACACCAACCCACCCCGTTCATCCAATTCTCTCAACCCGATCCAATCTTCCTTGTAGATACTCCTCTCCCTGACTCCCACTACACCGCCAGATTCCCCATCTACCTCTCCAAACCAACTTGATTCCTTTGGTACCACCATCCGATCGTTTTCAAACATGTACATGACGAATTTCTCCAATTTCCCCAGATTCTCCTTGTACGTTTCATTCTTCACCACCCGCTCGTTGTTCACATCCGCTAGGAAATTGCTATGCTTGAGGTACTCCTCCATTTCGCTGGGTTCGGGGTCACGGAAATACTGCGCGGGGACGAGCCGGCCTTGGACGAAGGTTGACCATCGGCCTGAGCGGAGGAGGGCTTCCGCCCCCCGGCAGATGAAGTCGTTCCAGGCGCAGGATTGGAATTGAGAGATGCCGTTGTGTTGGCTGCCCAGGGTGATGAGCGTGCGGACGGGCGGAGCGTTGCAGCGTTCGATGTAGCCGCGCAGGAATTGCCCGCCTTGGGAGAAGCCCAGGGCGTTGATGGCCGGAGCGGTGGAGAGGATGGGATCTTGGAGGAGTTGGGAGCAGACGGAGGCGATTTGTTCGGTGAGATTGCCAAGGAAGGTTGCTTGGCGGTCGCCGGCGCTGCTGGGGGAGAGGTGAATTAGGTAGGTGTAGGTTCCCGGGTTGGCGTCTTCGGCGACTTTGATTAGGTGTTGCAGCGAGGGGCTTTGGTATTGGTCGCCGAGGCCGTGCCAGATTACGAGGGGGAGGGCGCGGAGCTCGGTTGTGGTGTTGGTTGTGCTGGTGGTTGTGGTTTGGACTTGGTGGGTTGGGTGGGCGCTTATGAAGGGGAGGAGGGGCAGAAGGGTGAGAAATGGTGTCAGGGGACGCATTTTGTGGTCACGGTGTGAGATGGAGCTCAGTAGTTGTAGGTGGGAGGAGGATAAGATGAAGGTCGAGATGGATGTATAGTATTGGTGTTGGTGTTGTTGTACCTGCGGAGATGCGGAGACAGGTGGATGTCACGTTGTCGGGGCTGGCTTCCGGTGCCTGACGTAAGATCGGCATGTGACTGACGATTTAACGGGTAACTATGGAACTCATTATTATCTTGAATGCTTTATAGCTACTCCATTCTTACCAATACTCAAAGGATAAATGTAGAGCAGTGACATGCTTATCACGCCGTGTAGTACAAGTGGGTCATAAGATGGTGTCCTGTTGAGTTAGGCTCATGTGCCTGGACCTATTTGTATAGACTACGTCGATTGGTCCATTCTTGGGCGGGCCGATCCTCTGGGTGCCTCCCAGGAAACGTCCGTTCTGGTCCTGCTGTTCTTGAAAGAGGAGTAGCGCATGCTTGATCAACGTATATTCTCGCGGTCATTGGCGCTACGGTAAGCTTGCTGAGTTTGACCGTATTCGGTGAAAATGTAAAGTCATCTGTTCGACGGAAATTTGTCTCGAACGGATAGTTATCCGTTGATATATTACTATTAGCTTCACGAAACGTGGTGGCAGAACATGTGAAGTCGTGTTGAGCCTGCTGTTTTCCGTGCTCAATCTGCTTAGCGAATAGACCACCATCAAGATCGACAGCCTGGCCAAAGATTATCAGAGGGGATGTGGTCGGTTTTCTTGATGGAGGAGCGAGCCTGGTGCTTCGTATTCTAGATTCACTGGTCACCTTGTCAATCTGTTCCTTATTTGTTCTCTGTGATATGGCTCGTTGTATGTTGTGGCGAGGCTCTGGGAGCCAACCATAACTGGAGTGATTCAATGTCGATGAAGTGCTCATGGACTTTTGCGCATTTATCTGTCGTCTACTGTCATTTGCAGTTGGTGAAGATAGTTCAGGGTTCAAACGGCTCTGAGAAAACTGATGAGCGGTTGAACAGCCGTCTCTTTCCAGGGATGTGCCATAGGCGGCCTTCAGCCATTCCTCTTCGGCAAGAATCTGGTCATCTATCGTAAATCTTCGCCTGATCGGAGTCCCCGCTTCTTGAACCTTTGGGCTAGTGTCTGCTGACTGTAGAGGCTCCGAACCTGTAACCTGGAACTGCTCCTTACCAGTAGAATTGTCAACGAAGTGATCCGAGCCCCGGACTATGGAATTTTCCCGGGTGGACAATCCTCTACCAGGGGACGACACACATAAAGGTGAGATGCTTGAAGAGCCTAGTATCCAAGACCTGTCACCGACTGAGCTCCTAACGCCGACATCCTCACAGACATACTCATGCACAAGTGGCTTTGGAGTTGTGGGAGGGGACTCATGGTCCAGAAGCATTGACTGCGACGTAGCATCAGTTGGTGGACCATGGAAGCCTGGATAGTTAGCTCCAACAGATTGGCCATTTATTCTTATGTCCAGGTCTTGTATGCTCTCCTCTGTCTCTGCACCTCTGCGATGCTTAGGGCGGTAGGTGAGCTTTGGACGCAGGACAAAAGACCCCAGCCTCTCACGGTCATCATTCGTTATTTTTCTCCGCCTCCCAAATTTCTGTAAAACATCTACTGAAGGGAATAGCACCGTGATAGGCCGTGCTGCTGCAACTGATGCCCAGTCGGTCTTCTCTAGCAGTTTATGCTTGATTCGTGCTAAGTCTTGAGCTGCTTGTGAGGACTCCTGTACAGTCGATACTAGACGTGGATTCTTCGCGGGGTAGGAGAGAGAGGAACTATGGCTAGACTTGATCCTGACTTAGCTTCAAGAATTAATGGATTCACGGACGTACTCTACCCGCTGGTTTGGATGATGTTTTGGCTTGCTGCATGGTTCTCTAGCTCGAATGCTTTCGAGGCAGATATTCTTAGATAGCGAAGTCGTCAGAGGGTCTTTCGTCTCTGCTATTCTTGACCTCTTGAAAATTTGCTTCTTGTTTCCTGTATAATTGCTCGAGTGTCGTCGAAGACGACCTCCGGTCCAATTCATGTTGCGTTATAACTCTGCAAAGATGGCATAATGACCCAGGAAATCTTCAAGAGAGACACGAGGGAGGGTATGATTCCTCTGGTTGTGTAACGGCGTGCGGAATGAGCGTCATGTGATGTATGATGAGTACACAGATAAGGTCAAAAAGCATCCACTTGTCAAGATTACGGTAGTATAATATCACTACGAGTGTGGTATTGAGACCGAGGACCAGGCCGCCAACACAACAATAGCTACATCGGGAACTGGACACAATTGGAAATAATTGATTATGCTTGTGACCTAGGGAGCTTTCATAATCGCTGATTGTGCCTAAGCAGCTACGTTCGCAAATCACGTTCATCGAGGGTTCGAGTGAGTGCGCGTATAGGAGCCAGAAGGAGGTCGTCAGGGTATCACAACGCATGCTCTGATGAGGCCGCATAATGTGTATAGCGACCCAGAGCACAGCTTTATGATTAGATTATGTGATCTTATTTGTGTGCAAGACAAATTGGATAACTTACCACATGAGGTATGGTGAAGTCCATAGACTAAGCATCATTAGGACTCTCGTCTAAGCAAGACATCTGGAAACGGCTCGGCCCGGCAAACGACCCAGGTCACTACCGTAGAACTTGGGCGTCACTAATTTAGCTTCATCTTTGATCATCGGAACCTCGGCTTGAGTGGGGGTGCAATCCGTGCAAACATATCACGTGCATGATTCGCTTCGGCGGCTCTTAAAATATCTTCCCACATGCCAAATTCTTTTCCCTTTCTTCTTGACACCACGCAGACGACAACAGACACGCCAGAGGTGGCAAAGATGGTGCCTGCATCATCTTATTTGCTTGCTCGGAAGCCGACATGAGGAGTTCATTGGCCTTGCTTTGATGTAGGCGGGTTTCTGAAACTGTTTCGTGTCAGCAACGCGACCAGCTGGCAGCCTCGTCGCACAGGGTTCCTGGCGAGGTCTGCGTGCCGTCTAGCTTTCTTTTTGTCTCTTTTCATTTTTCTAATTCTATTTTATTTTTACGACTCCCCCTTTTCTGGGTCTTTCAGGCAACAGGTAAGCGCAGCACTTGTTTCTTTTTCTACCCCTTTTCTACATGGGTGTCACTGGGGGCTATTTGCCCACAATGATGAACACCATACCAATAAGCATAGTTCACCTGAGATCTTCGGATTGTTGAACGAAAACTGTATACCATCTTTCACCTTTATCTGATACACACACCCATTGTTGCGTCATTGTCTGCTATTCAAATTGGAATATCGTTCGAGAACCAATCGCTGACATTGCATGCTTTAGGATGCCTAGAACTGAACGGTGCGGGATTATACGGCGTAGAACGGGATACCCATAATTTAGAATTTTAATAATTTGAGAGAGAGCGGGATTATTGAAATTGTGATGAATCCAATCCAACCCTGATTATTGAACTTCCTGCTTATTCTGAGACAAGCGTAAAAAGAAACTTCCCGGCAGTCCCGTAATTAAATCCATCACATTGCTGCCCAACTTCCCGTGGTGTCAAGTCTTGCTTGCGCCGGTGGATGAAGCCCGGAGTGCAGCTGTCAACTAATATCCGGAAGAAGGATGTGAGGTTCCTCATCATGAAACGTAGCAAACATGACAGTCAAACTGGATGGCACAACCCCTCCCCCTCCTTTTCTTTCGCAGCAAGCGGCGAGATTGGGCGAAGCGAGCCGCTGTGGCATGAAGCAACACGCTGTCCCGGGGAAGGAGGGGCAATTGTCAATTATGTGCAGTAGCTGCTGCGACAAGCGAGATCCCTGTTCCGCGAGATGTAGGAGGGGATTGACGTGGTGGGCATCCTAGCCAAAGGATGAAGCCAAAGTTGGCATCCTTTCACGAGGGAAAGCGGGGCCGCCGAGGAAATACCGATGACTGGCTGGCAGGTACAAGGATAGCCCTGCACGCGACAAACCACGGGGAACGCTCAGGAAGGGCTCGGCGCCAATCATTTAGGATTGCCAATCCTGCCGGCTGAGGGGCTTTGCTGCCGGTGATGCAACACTGCAGCCCATCTTCCTCTTGGCCGCCAATCATACTCCTTGGATAGGTGGAGGACGGGTGAGGCCCGCCTCACCGCTAGATTGAGCAATTGCCCGGGTGGTGCCGTTGCCAAATGATACCTTTAGATACATCCACCCACCGGCCACGTCAAGCCCCTCCATGATGGGTGATTTCCGAGAATCATTGGCAGAGAGGGACCGGACAACACCACCTGGCGCTGCACCACTATCACCGCCATGTCTCGCAGCGCCAAATCATCATGCTCGATACGGCCAGTGAGGCAGCCGGCTGCAGCAAGCATGCAACTCCGGCACACGCTTGGACGCACCGTCTCCTCCGATAGCCCCCCACGCCTGGCCTCCTGAACGAGAATCCAGCCGGTTCCCTCGCCTCTAAAAGGCCGTCCTTTCCCCTCCAGATGGAATTCTTCTCGACCTTTCCTTTTCTCCTCATCATCATCACACCAGACTCAAAGAAGAAATCCGACTTTGCCCACTCTTGATACCCAACGAACCCAAGATACCCCCTTTTACTTTCCATTGATCTTCTCTTACTCCACACACACACACAACATTTCCAAAACACACACTACCCCTCCATACTACTTCTGCTAGATTTGTCACAGTCAAATCAGCTCTTGCCTACTACTATCCCATCATCTCCACTTGCTCTCAAGGCTTGAATTACTACTTGCTTGACTCTTTTGTTCTTTCTCTGTTTCTTCAAGTGTCCAATCCGTGGATCTTGGAAAAGAAAAGAAACTACTTGCCCTCCCCTCCTGGCTAGATCAACCCTTGAACTGCCCTTCTGGAAACCCAGTCCGTATCCTGGATAGGATTTGCTTGCTTTGTTTTGTTTTTCGCTCCTCCCAGGCTTTAGTCTGAGTATACGGCAACACAATAACAGGTAGTCCCCTCATCACTCTCCTTTTGTCTGCTTTGATTCTGCATTTCTTTCTCTTGCTTTTGTCCCTTTCTGCGATTGTTTGCATTTCGAAACCCCTGGATCCGCTTTTATCGACAATCTTTCAACGACAGCAGCACTATAGAGGACCCCTGGACTCTTGAATCTCTTTGCTTCCGCTGGATTCTTCCGTCGAAGCGACGGATTGACGAAAACATGTGACCATGGAATTCATTTGCTTGTCCACAGCAGCCGCTGTGTGACTGGACACTCTTGAGTGTTGTTTAATGTTGCACACTCAATTTTCGATTACCCCTGGACTATCCTTTCTGCCTGGAACCACCGGATCTCTCCTCACTAAGCCTAGTGGGAGTTTGGACATTTGCCTTGGACCCCTTTTTTTGTTGGCCTGTTTTCTCCGTTCCCGAATTGGATTTCCCACCGTTCTGGATTAGAAGCCGTCTCTGGAAATAGCAATCACAATGAATTCCGACCTTGCATTTTTTCGATCTCATCACTGGATCTCGACATCTAATGGACTGAACCGTTGATCCAACTTATGTGTTGCATCTTATCACTTGATACCCCTTGTAGTCTGGACCCCTGGATGGATACCTTAACCGAGACTAGACGACCCGATCTACTGCAACTGCAGTTTTGACGCCGGAAACAAGCACCACGGACATGTTGCCGCTTTTGCCGATCACTTTACTGGTTATAACCTCAGATATATTCCTGGATTAACAACAGTGCACACCCCTTCTCATGGACCAAGCGGTAACCTCCCTGGATTGATCTACCCACGACATCCTATTGGTTGGTGTGCCTCAACCTTGAAGCTTGCGTGAATGATTTATCTGACTGATTATAGGCCCTTTGCGCGACATGGATCCCAGATGCAGACCATCGTTCACTTTCTGTCATTGTTTGAACAGCGATTAGGTGTAGATGTACTGACTCTTAGTTACTTTCTAGTGCTTGCCATTTGTTTTCCAGCTTGTCTGGTATTAGAACACCCACACATAATGTCCACCAAGATCAAGAACGACCCAGAGAACATGTCTTTGTCCCAGTCATCTTTGCACACTATGGACCACTTGTCTCAGCCGAGACAAAACCAAATGATCCCAGGGATCCCCAACATGGCCTCCAGAGGAATCCAGGATGATGAACTTTCGAGCCAGGACAATTTCTCCTTGTGTTCAAGCACACACCCCAACCACGGGACCCCCAATGACTTGAAGGGGTGGTCTCTGAGCGACGTGGATGCACTTGACAGTGGTGCGATGTCCAAACCAGAGTCCCCGGAAGTCCAGATGCTCTCTTTCTCTTTCTCTCAGCAATTGCTGCCATCGACCGTTGGCCCTAGTGATGTAATGTATCATCACGCCGGATCCGATTTCTCAGGCATCCAGGATGTGACTGAGCAAAATGACCTGGATTTCTCCCATGCACATGACTTCAACCACTACTCCTCATTGGTTGATCTCTCTGCCTTTGATAATGAAGTTTATGGCCAGAATGGTACCCAGTCCTCTTGCACTCCTGATGATACTCTCTCCAGCCACAGCTCTCATGCGGATGACGGCCACCTGGCCGGCAATGAGGCGTGGAACTCGATGAACTACCACGGATCATCCATGGATCAGTATACCACCGGCATGTTCCAATCAGTGCCTGTTTCTCCCCCCTTGTCTGACGCCAGTAATGATGTTTCTGTTACTTCCTCTTGCTCTGCTTCTGGATACCCCACCTTCATGAGCCATGAAGATGCCATGCTCAAAGATGTTACAACCACTCCCGTTGGAAGCCATGGAATCAATCTAGGAGACCCATTGTTCCCCCTCACTCCCCCCTTGAGTGAGCAGGACCCCAACAGGTTAGTATTTCTCTATCGTATTTGCAGCTGTGAACAGCCAATTCTGACCCCCAACAGAACCATCCGGGCAACCAAGAATGCACGTAGGCCAGCCCTGCAGACTTCCATGTCCCAGACCCAGGTCAAGCAGGATCCTGAATTTTTCCCACCCCTGCCCGTCAAGGAAACGCTCCGCCAGAAAGCCAAGGAGGGCTCTGATCTCCGGAACCCCCGGGATCACCCTTACTACTCCCTGCCCACTCACAGTGATGGAAAGTACTACTGCCCCTTTGCCAACGGAGAGAAGCCTTGCAACCACCCCCCGACTACTCAGAAGTGTGCCTATCAGTAAGTCAAACCCCCAACGCTTCGATGAAGCATCGAAACTAATCGTGCAACAGCAAATACTTGGACTCCCACTTGAAGCCCTACCGCTGCAAGGTGGCCGCCTGCATGGATGCCCAGCTGCAGTTCTCTTCGAATGCATGCCTTTTCCGCCACGAGCGCGAAGCCCATGGATTCCACGGCCACGGAGATAACCCCCACCTGTGCCTGTTCGAGGGTTGTGACAGGTCGGTGCCCGGCTACGGATTCCCCCGCAGGTGGAATCTGTTCGACCACATGAGACGTGTGCACGACTTTGCCTCTTCGGACAGGCACAGCTCCCCGGATGCTTCCCCTACCACTGGACCGGCCAAGAAGAAGGAGACGGGCGGACGCAAGCGTAGAGTTACTGGGGTCACTGGAGCCCCCACCATGAAGCGCACTCGTTCCACCCAGTCCCAGACCAACCCTCTCAAGGCTGCCCAGCAGACTTCTGCTCATCACAACCAGAGACTCCAGAATGCGGAGAGAAACTACTACAACTGCCGGTCCCGGCTGCTTGAGGAGCTCACCAACATCACGCCCCAGGATTCTTCCATGCATGAGAAGGTCAATGCCAGCCTTCAGGAGCTCATTACCCTTGGACTCAACTACCGCCACATTGAAGCCAGCCAGGCTGCGGCTCAGATCGCTCACGGTCTCCCTGCTTGAATGCTTTACTGAGACGATCATTTGAAGTCTTTTTTAAATTTGTCTTCCCAGTCATCGCCGAGTGCTGGATGGTTCTCATAGGAAGGATCTCATGGTAACGGGAAAGAGCCGTGATGGATAGAAGTTTCATGGAAAGCGTCCGTGAAAGATCATTCTCTGACCATCGGTTGGGTTTCTTATTTCATTCCAAAGGATCCTTGGCCTCCTGCAGCTGCCCGGAGAGCTCCCCGCTCCAGCCACAGTGTGTCCACGACGCATCTCGCGGCTTCACCCTCGGTGATGCGGATCTGATCCCATCATCTAGAGGGTTATCTTCCAGACCATTACCGGACTCACTACGGTGTAGGTTGGTATGGTGGAAGCATTGAAAGGGGACGACAGCTCTGGGCGGTCGGATAGGAGATGCCTCCTAAGTCCTTCATCATTGTCTTGTGACATTTTACGTTTCATGTACGCGCAGCTTGCTGCGCATGGTTCTGTAAAAACTTTTGTTCAATTTTCTGTGTATCTTCTTGCTTTTGGGCGTGGTTTTGCTACTTTTTCGGTATCGATGCGAAGCATCGACCTTCATCTCGGGCCTATGTTTGAAAGAGGTCGACCAGAGAGAAGAAAAAAAGAAGGGAACGGGGCGAATTGGAAATACAGGGACGACGGTTTTGTACATGGGTTTTTGGATCTGGATTTGGATATAGATGACGGGTTTTCATTCATGTATAGGTGCAGGTCGTGGAACAGGAGGCCTGCCATTATTTTATGTATTGGGAGTTCATACGTGCATTTTGTCCTGTGAATATTTTTTTGTTTCTCTTGCACCTTTTTTGAGGATTCTTCAATCCCCGCTTTGGATATAGCTTGACTACCTACTCATGTTTCTGAGGGTCGCTGTCTTCAGTTTTCTACTCAACTTCCCTGCTAGCGGGGATCAAAAGTTTTGCTATTTTCTTCCCACTACCTACCTTTTGGACTCTATTAGAGCTGCAAATTGTAATCTCCTTTGAAAGTTACGGCAAATACCCAAATCGAGAAGCTTTTTCGAATACAGACACTCGCCCATCATCAGACATAACATACGTATGTCAAGTAACTTGCCAGTAGGTCAATAGCTAGACGTTATTTGCAGTAAGCTATAATGAAAATGACGCTCTCTAAATACTTGCAAAAACACACGCTTCTATGGTAAACTTTTCCCACCCGTCTCTATCACATCACTATAAGCAAGTCTTCACCTTAACGACTCCCTCTTAACAAGAGAACATGTCCCAACAAAACCCACCACCCTCATCACAAAACGAACCACAAATCAATAACAGGACTTTTGAAAAAATGCGATTACTCGCTCTCCGCCCCAAACTCCGCATTCAAAAACCTCACAAAAGCATCCGGCACCTGCTCCGCCGTCAATCCGCCCTTACTCGATGCATGCGCCCCCTGCACATACGCCCGATTTAACGCAATCCACTGCCTCCTCAGCCTCTGCAGTCTCGGGAGCGCCAGAATGCCGCCTGCGCCGGCTAATTCATCCGTCGTGCCGGACGTGGCCACATGCGCCGGAACGTAAACGGGCATGGACGCCTCCGGGACGGGAATGCTAATTCCCCGCCCATTACCGCTGCTGCTGCTGCCATCTTGGCACTGCGCGAGGGCGGCTTCAGCGGAGGGGTTGGAGAGCGTGAAGCTGCGGATGGCGGAGACGATGGCTGAGGTGCGCTTTTCCATGTTGTAGAGGGCTGTGGAGTCTGTTGCGGCGGGGAGGGCGGTTGCTTGGTGGGGTTTGATTTTGGGGCGGTTGGTGCGGAATGTAGAGGGATTGTTTGCTGTGGTGGTGGTGCTTGCTGCTGAGGAGAGGCTAGTATTGTTGAGGGCTGAGGTGAGGGTTGATACGGTGGTGTTGGGGTCGGCGGTAGTTGTTGCTGAAGGGTGTGGGATGCCGGTTAGGGCTGTCCAGATTTCGGCGATCGGGGGGGAAGTATCGGTCCAAGGGACGGTGAAGAGAGGCTTGTCCCAGCGGCTGTGGATGCTGGGTTCTTCGTAACGGAAGATGAGGTTGTTGAGGAGTTCCGGGGGGTAGGGGTCTTCTTGGTCGGAGGTGGGTTCGGTGGTGGATGGAGTCGCTTCGGCGTCAGACTGGGGAGTGTTCTCGTCGTTGTTATTGTTGTTTGTGTTCTTTTGACGGCGGAGGCGTGCCTCGTTGTTTGCGACGCATTGGTCGATGGGGGTGCCGACGTGGACCTGGTGGTGATTGTGTTAGTGCGCGTTGCTTGCTGGTTGTTGATGAAGGACGATGAGGGAGGGCATAGCATAGCATACCACACAACATGTCGTCCCTAGTGCCTTCGCTTCACACCACAGCTGATACCGGTATCCTTTGATGTAGTTCATTCCGTCGAGGATCACGAAACTGTCCTTGCCGAGGGCGCGCTTCGCCCGCGCATACGCCACGCCTCGGGTCTCCTTTTCTGTGCGGGCATGGTCGTAGACGGTTCGCGGATGAGAGGGATCATGAGTAGGTACGACGTGGATCTTGTAGCGGGGTTTCGTGGAGGGAAGAGCGCCGGTGTTGAAGAGCTCGGTTTGGGTTTCTTCGAGCTGCGTTGCGAGTTGGTTGGCGCGGTAGGTGAGGCCGGAGCAGGGATAGCCGGTCAATACTATGAGCTGTGGTTGGTTAATGCGGATCTATTGGGAGAGGTGGAGGGAATGTACCGGCATGATGAGAGGGAAGGGGAGCGATCGGCTGTCAATGTCGGTTGCTGATGTTGCGCGGTGGATTCGCGGCGGAGATTGAATTGTTGGAAGTTATTTTTGCGCGGGGCGGCTCGGTGGGGTCCATGTGACTGACGGCTCTATACAGTTGGAACAAGCACAACATTGATCATTTTCAAACATGCTCGCTCGGAAGCAGATATTGCCCTGTCTATTTGCATTTGATCGCTAATATAATCGACTTTTATTGTAGGCGTGTCTATTTGTCTACACATCTCAGTGCGAGTCATGACTCATAACCTCGTCCATTTCCTCCATCGCCAGTATGCTAATTCAATTCCTCCTCTGCCCAGTGAAGTTCATATCCAAAGACCGTCCTTCTTAGACGTTCATCCTAGAGTGTGTTAGCCAAATTGCCAGTTAACCAGGTGGCGCAACGACACTTACACCTGGGTCATTCTCGAACAACACCTCATCCATAAGCTTCTCAAACACCTTCGTTACTTTGAAGCCATTCTCCTCCGCCAGCGGGAAAAACTTCTCCGTCTTGGGCAACAGCCATGGCTCATATGGCGTGAAGATCACCAACGCCACGGCCTCCTTGGTCCGCTTCATGGTCTCCCGCATCGTCTTGATCAGATTGGGATGCTCGCGATGACTGTACACCACATCTGCCATGATAAGCACATCAAAGCCTGTCGCACCAGCGGGCAGGCACGCAAGCAGCGGCTCTACCGGATTTCCCCATTTATATCCATCAACGTGGAGGGAGCCAGGGTTCGCGATCTGAGGCTCAGCCAACGAGGCATTGTAGCGCATGTTTTGGACCAGATCCAGGTCCGGGTAGTCGGTCATCACGGTGGTGCGGGCGCCCAGAATGGCGCTGACGATACTCGGGACACCGGCGGCGGCACCGATTTCGAGAACATCCTTCCCCTCAATAAGTGTGCTGGCGCGTTCCTCGATGTAGTGGGAGCTGGTTCGGCCGGCGTTCCAGAGAAGGTTTCCCTAGAATGAGCGGTTAATGAGTGAAAGCGGGTGAAACATGAGGTACCAAGAGTGCCGTACGTAGAGAGGATGACTACCAACGAGGCGCACGCGCACTTTTTGGCCGGAGAGCATGTGATGCTCTGCAAAGGTGGGCTCGGGCTCGGGTTCATAGAAGCCCTCGGGGTCCTCGAACATGGCCGCCGTGTCAAGATTGTCTTCTTCCGCCATGGTGATCAGATGCGAGCCTACCTCCAGCGGATGAGTAAATCGATCTGGTGAGGATGTGAATGTCGCATGATGGGCGATGGGGCGGTGATGCGCACCGAATAATGAATTCTCGACTGCGAATCTCAGGGTGGAGTCTTTTTTCGTGGTGGGGGATTACTGCAATGGGACTAGCGCGGGTGATTGAACCACAAGAGGGTCACCTGACCTCACGTGCTGTTCGGCCGAGGCATCGCCGCGTAATACGGTCACGGTACCTGCATCTCCCAGGCAAACCCCGCGTGGGGCCGGGCGGAGAGACCGCCTCGCATACCGGCCGGGTAATTATCGGCATTACCTTTTCGCGAAATTTTTGCTGGCCGATGGTTGCTTTTCAAAAGCAATGCAACAGGAAGACAAGAAGAGAGAGCAATCATTTGTAGTCACAATAGTCTGATATTTTTCAGCTCCTCGCGACGGGGGTTGTCGATCATCGTCAACTGAACTGAACTCCGCTTGACTAGTTCGATGATTGTCCTTTCCCCCCTCCCTCGCTAACTCTCAGTATATTATCGCCTGATTGACCTTGCGTCCCAAAAGTACGATCCCGACCAATTGATCGCAGCGCCCCGACTATCTGTGACTATCGCAACCGTCCCTCACTTTCCGGTTCAGCGTCATCCGTTCGTGGAAATTCCACTTATCAGCCTTTCGCCTTGCCGGACGTCATACCGCGGCCTTCTGGGACGAGCCCCACGTGTTGCTACTTTTCCTTTGCTGGCTTGCGCTTTTTCTTTCTTTCTCATCTGCCGGCCTCTTTCCTCTCTTTCTTCTCCCCTCATCACGCCATCTTCTATACGCCAGCGACCAGGCTAAGGCGACTAACGACTCCACCGGATCAGTCCATTCAATCCCCGATACCCTCTCTACGCCTGGACTGCAATCTCATCCTGCCAGCTGAGCCTAGCCTTTTGCTCCCTTGTCGCTCCCTCCCCATCGCGATCGCTGCCGCCCTCATAGACTCCTCACATCGCTATCGTCCTTATCACCACCACCTCTCCTCCACCATAGATATATAGAGAATACAACATGGACGGCTCCTCCCACACTTTGACTCCCTTCAACCAACCTCAGTCCACCGCACACATCTCACCAGGATATTCATCGCAACCTCAAAACACCCTGGGTCTCGCAGCCGCAGCCGCCGCCGCCGCAGTCAACAGTCAAACCGCCCAGATGCAGCTTCAATCTCAAGCTCCCACTGTTAACGCCAGCGAGCAACAAAATCTCACCGATCTTTCACAAACCTCTGCTGCTGCTGCTGCTGCTGCAACGATGGGCCAACCTGCAGCGGACACCTACCCCCACCAAGTCACTGGGTCGGGCGGTCCCACGGCGACGGCACCTTTCTTACGAGACTTCAGTCTTGTTGCAGAGGCAGCCAAGCGGGCACAAATGTCCGTGATGGTGCGAGATCTGGAGAGTGTCACGCTATAAATGGCATCAGCTGGGAGAAGGGCACCTCTGACATCATTCTTTATCTCGGGGTGGGAGCACGGGACCAATATGACTGATAGATCGGATGGGACCGTTGATGGGATAGAGATATCTATCATCTCCATATATTTATTTTCTTTTTTGATTAGAGGGGAGTGCGTGGTGTATATTTGCGGTTCATTTATCTATGGGTGGGGTTGGGTGTTGTATCTCTTTTTGGATTCGTCTCTTCAGTCTGCTTTACACCTCGGTTTACCTTCTACCTATCCACTACTCATCTCTTCTTTACAGGCTGATCTCTTTGCGTTGGGTGAACTGCAATTATTCTGATTGGCGAGCACATACACATTACATTATTTACTATTACTGTAGGTACAGGTACTTACTCCATTTCGTTCTAATTATTTCCACTTTGATTGGACATTACTACCAACACCACTCCTGTCTATTAAATCTATCTAATATCTACTCCAATTTACTAATCTATCCTTCCTTTCGGGCTTAACGGTCGGCGGAAACCAAATCAAACCAAGACAGCCACTTACCTACAACGAAGTACTAGTACTAATAATCAGTATATTAAACCCCCTCATTTCGGAGATTCCACTCCATCCATTCATCCCTTCCCCTTCTAAAAAGTATTCTCTATTGTGTCATAATTCATTTCCTATTAAAGGCTTGACCTCTCCCAAAACGCCCGGACAGTTACTAAACCAGTCTAGTGAACAAATTTGCTGCTGTACTAAGACTAAGCCACTGAACAAGGAGGCCAAAACCGGAAATTAAACACAACTAGCACTAACCGCCCCTTTTCCAATTCCGACCAATTTGTACGACACCCCCATTTGTCCCACCTGCACTTCTTAGTACCTGGTACTTGGATACAGCGTACAGACAGTAGATAGATTGGTTTCGAGTCTCCAATGTAAGTATGTATAGGGATTCCAGAAGTAACCGGTTAGTTGGTCTAGTAAATTAGTCTGGGGATAGCCGAGTCATTGATTCATTTGTTAAAGTACTACTTACTATCACCCCCTGCATTTCCCGGCGCTTAGGCACAGCATTATTGTTCTGGTACCTTCTTTTTCTTCTTCCCCCCCTCGGTTCCCTTCATTCGTCTAGAATAGATTGAGAAGGTAGCCTACTTCGCCTGTTAGTTTGTAAGTTCAATCCCCGGAAATTTCGGAATTGCAAGGCAAAACTAGGAAAAAAAAAAAAAAACCAAGTATTGGCTTGTAATTTAAACCGTGAGGGGAAAGGGGGGGAAGGGGAGGGAGGGGAGGGGAAGGGAAAACAAGGCAGAGACCCTTGTCACTTGTTCTTGTTTCTTTTTCCCCACTTACGTCTACTGTACTGGGTACTTACTACTTACTTAACTTACCTACTATGGAACTCCTTGATGGATGGACGGGTTATGATGATGATGCTGGTATTTGTGTGCAACAATATCGACGTCTACAATACTGCCATATTATGATTAATATGTATAGAATACTACCCCACCAGATCATATCTTAATACAACAGGATAAGATGAGACTAACTAGTTAGTACTACTTTATGTCGCGATAGCGATAACGAGGGTGCAATTTACGGTTAAGCGCGGAGGGGTAATTTTACGATAATGATAAAGGATAAAGGATAACGATAAAACTAGGCAACTATTGTGATAGTGATAAGTTGGTTGCATGCAGGTACATGGATAAGCCCGTATTGGATACTGATGAACGAGTGGGTTGATTGGCTGTGCCTGGCGTGGTGTGTGGGTGAATATGATCAACTGTACATCTTATTTTCAGTTACTACTCTTAGAGTGTGGTATAGAACAGATGATTCGACTACTACTGCAGTGGATAGTAATTGATTTTTTTTTGGAACTCTTTGTTCATTGATGCAGGTGTGTATATGAAACATGATGTTTTTTTGTGCAAACGAAAATAACAATAAGGCTATACAATGCCGCCCGCCCATGCAGTGGAAATATATGATCATCAATGTATGTGTATATACATGATCTATATACAGATGTATACCCGATCACCGAGAGGTATGAAGGTGAGCACGGGTATGTATATAAATACATGTTTTGGTTGAATGTGCAATTGCGATTCTTCTTCTGCTCAAAGCATACTGAAGAGGGCAAGCAAAACGGAAACCTGCATATCGAGGTAAAATCAAACTCAAAGCAAGATAAACTTAACACCGAACACCGAGCTAATGCGGACACCCAACCTTGTAAATGGGAATTGAAAATGAGAATTTGAAAAAATGTATTCAATATTGAAAGGAAATGGGCCCGGTAAGGAAGGTATGGAGATGAATGTATGATGAAGGAAAGACTTTTGACTGGTATTATAGATCAAAGGATCGAATGATGCTCGCCGCGCCGTGCTGAACTCCGATTATAATGATGCGCTTTGGGTTCGTGGGTTGCATGCTTGGGTTGGGATGGGTCGGTTATGTTGGTACTTGTGGTGATGTATGTGCGGGGGCGGCTGTTGGCGTCTATGTATATTAACTCTCGTCGTGTCGATCAATTAGGGTAATGGCGATAGAGATGGTGACAATGATGCAATATCGAGAGCCGATGATGAGATTATATTTGAGTCGATGCCCCAATCAAATTGGGCTGCGAGATACTCCCGGCCTGACCCGGCGTCAACTTCTTCGAACGTCTCGACCCGAAGATGGAAAACCGCCGACTGACCCTCCTGGAGGGTTCGGAGGCAAATATCGAGAGGGGACGGGGCCTCGGAGGCCGCGGTTCGGCCGCCACAGGCACATCCATAGAAGGCGAGGAGATCGATCCGCTTGATCCGGCGAGTTCATCTATCCCGAAGATGGACTGGCGACGCTTGCTCCGGATCTTCTCGCTGCTGGGTTGGAGGGTCAAGTCTTCCTTGATGTCGTCGAGGGCGTGGGAAAAGCGGCGCAGAAGCTTTGGCTTCTCAGCAATGGATGGCGCGCGCTCCTCCAGTCCGTACATTTGCAGAGGGGTCGAGTCTGGGGCATCTTCCCTCACGGGGGTCGAGTAGTAGCGGGGGATCTTGTAGTGTTGCGGACGGCGGCGGGGAGCAGGAGGAAACCATACTTGATGGTGTGGAGGGTGTTGCGAGACGGGGCTGCCGGAGAAGGAGGAGCGAGAGGAGTCGGTTGACGAGGAGGTCAACATATTCTTTTGATTGTGGTAGGTGTATACCAGGAACGGATTGAGGGTGGAAAAGAACTAGGCGGAAACGATAGTAATAGATACTCCGGGGTAAGAGGATATAGGAGGAGCAGTAGTAGCTGGGGTGGGAATGCAAGTATATTCAAGGATATGCCGCGGAAGCTGAAGACGATTGAGGAAGAAAAGACTGATGATAGAGCGGCAGGGGGTGGAAAAGAAACGAGAGAATCGGGTGGTGGTTAGTCTAACTCCAGACAAGTCAGACGGTTCGTCTGATCTCGGTGTAGGGATGGGATGGGATGGGGGTTAAAAAATACTTAATACAGGACTATAATTATAGCTCCCAAGCACTAGGGGAGAAAAAGTGGGGACTCGCGGAGTATTCACTGGCTTATTACAGACACAATGGATACTTACCTTACCTGGGGACTTTTTTTTTCCCTGCGGCGTATTCCCGTGTAACCCGTACCGATCGTATGTTGGGCCCTTTGTTGCCATCCTTTGTTGCGATGGCGGAGACGAGGAAAAACAGCGTGTGTTTGTGTCTGTACAGTCTAGTTCGACTGAACCAGACTTTTGCATCGCTTGGTTCTCTCCCCCTCCTCCCCCTCCGGTGGTGCTCCGAGAGTGCTGGAGTATTCCGTGGATGGTGGACCAGTCCCAATTTCTCTCGTCTTCCACAAGAATAACTACGGTACGGAAGATTTCAACTAACTCCTGATCGAGATCCTGCTAATTGCCCTTCGACTGTCTTCCATCCATATCAGATCCTTGTCCTTCCTAACCGCTCGGCTCGCCGTTTGCCGTTCCTAGGAACCCAGCCGATTGGAGTGCACCAACCGCCGTCAGTTCTGGGGGATGACGCGGCGATTGAGGCGTCCACCAACGAAATCCAGCAGAGGATTGACATGTTGATGGCTAGCATTCAGCTGTTTCTATGGATAGATATCAAGATGAAACATGCATTGGAGCATCGCTTGTGCAGCGCCTGCGTATGGGGGTTTATGCCGTTATGGATCAATACGTACGCGGATGATGCACACGATTGCGGCCCATGGACCCATGCTCCACGACAACGACTCACTAGTAATATCATCCCACCGGACACTGCGGGTTAACCAACGCGGTACAATTGGGGCTGCGCTCTCTTTTGTGTATGTTTGGAAAAGGCAAGTGTGTCGGTTATTGTTACCCTGTAGGCATCAATAATGAGAGACAGTCCGGTCGTAATGGCGAGATTTTGGTCCACTACTGCTTCCTGCTTGCATACTGGGAAGTACTTAAGTATGGATGGTAAAGCTTCCGTATTGGAGATTTGCAGGATACATTCATACGAAGTGCATACATGCATAGTGACATAATTCCATGGGTTAATGGGGTCATGGACGGGGGGGAGACCCCCTAAGAGAGTCAGAATTACAACAGAGTAGGCACTGACTCTGCTTTTTTTTTTTTTTTTTTTTTTTTGTTCCCTTTTTCTTCCTCTCTCGTAAAGCAGTAAATAACAATAATAATCTGTGTAAAACCCACGGGCTGCACTATGACCCAGAAAGGGCCAGTACTAACGGGCTTAGCGTGGAGGTGCAGAGCCAGCCACATTGCCCGTTGCCTGCAAGGTGAAACACCATCCACTCCAACCATCTCCATCCACCAGCTTTGACGAATCAGAAGCAGTCACTAGTGCTGAATCGGGGCTGGGACATGATCTCATCGGGTCCTCACGGCTGCTGCGGGTGGGTCCGGACACGGGCATGTGCGTAGCATTGCACAGGGATTGGCCTGCGATGTAGGCGTAACTCCGTTCCGCTCGTAACTGACTTTGGCCTAGGAGGGAAGGTCTGAGGTTTCTAGCGAGCTCCCACTCCCTCGCTAACTTACTCGTATAGTGCTTACTATCCCCGAAACAGTAACATCTCAAAGCCAAGAAATTTAAGGAAATGAGCTTCAAGGGTGTGCCCCCCTGTTCAGGAATCGCTCCGGGGAAATTGGCAATCTTGCATTTACCCTGAAAAACATAAAAAATTCTTTTATACGCTTCGTGGTTGGTTGGTTTAAAAATCGGCTGGGGGGACGTCGTCCTGAACCCGAAGCAGCGGCTGCTGGCGTCCCATGGGAAAAAGCCAACTGGGGCCATGTCTGAATGCGTTTACCAATGGCAGCTGGCCAAGCTGCCACGGCAGCCAGCTGGACATTTTTTTCACCCAACTTTAATGGCCCCGATCAGCCGTGGTTCGCCGATCACGGCACCTTATTGACATGATATCTGCGGCTCAATGGAACCGCAGTACCATAGTATTGTGAAATAAGTAACTATCATTGTTACTTGTTTTGATGACACGTTGTTTCCATGAACTCCGATGGTGTGATTACCAATTTTCAGTGCCTCGGTTGAGTGAGTCGCTACAGCTTCCTTTGTCCTTTCAATTAATGCAGTCCAGAGACGGTAAGTGCCATGAGCGCTGGTCATTCATTACTCAACACGGAAACCAACTCCGGCTCCGACTGAGCTTGGATCGCATGCAGCACTAATTCTGTCCTCTGCTTCTCACACAGCCTGCCTCTCATCGCCTCCGAGTCATTGAGTCCGCGCAAGCACCACCTCAGCCATCACGCCTTTTCCGATGTCTCACCTGCATCAAAACCAAGCTTTGTCATTTTGCGAGGATCGCTGGTCAAAGTTTTTTTTCCCAGCCAGTGGACTCGGGCAGATCAACCGAGCGGTCATGTTGGGTTCTTTTTCCCGAAAATGCGGAATTATTTTTGACACGACATTGGTTCTTTGTCACCAGGCAGAAGTATACTTTTACCTCCAGCCAGCTGGCCAGCTAGCCAGCTAGTCTCGTCTTACGGCTATGCAATGTGCCGTACAGCCACCGCTCCGGATCTCCACCTTAGTCAACGCTTCTAATGCGCATCTTCCGACCTCCGATGGAGTCTTGAACCTAAGCGCCAGCGCGAATGACGCGTTACTTGTTTCGCATCGCACACAATCTCGTATATCAAGTGGCGAGATTACTTTTAAGTCCTGTGGGTTGTGACCGACCTCGGATCTGGCCTGGCCCGTCATGCTCCATACCCTCGCGAGTCGCAACAAGAGCTACGGGTTGTTTACAAATCTCGGATCTAGCCACGATCCCGCCTGTGTGGATCAGATGGGTCACACTGATATTGCACACTGCACAGTACCAAGCATCGGTTGCAATTGATTTCGGACTGCTCCGAATGTTTTTGTGGGCTAACTAGTGAACTTAGTTCTTCTATCCTGCGGTTGAAGATGCTCTGGAATATGTCTGATCCAATATGCTCATTGTTGGCAAGAATGCAGCAATAGACCTCAGGCGCACGGAAGGCTAGTGAATGATGCAGCAACAATTGGTAACCGTTGTCTTGACTCATCGCTTCTGTTTTTGAGAGAATGCAGACCAGAAGCACATAATCTGCCGCAGCATCCAGCCATTCACCTCTCTACGGAGGCAGCTAGAGCTTCAATTGGGCATGTTTGACGACCCAGAGTGAATAGCATTATCAAACGAACCATTCTACGAGCCGTCATTCTAGACACGGCATACCGAATCTAAGATGAGAAGGTCGGACCCTACGAGCTAAGTCCGGTCCGCACGAACATACTACCTCGCCAGCCAAGAGAGATATATTACCCTTATCCACAAGCTAAGTACAGAGGAACCATTGCAGAGATTTACCGGCACACTGTACTCCACCAAACAGCCGCAAGCACAGCTCTTTCGCGAGAATTGATCTATCTTGATGAGAGAAGCTCACCGCAATCGTGATCTTAATGCATACTATTCTTGGTGGGGTTGTACTACATCGCCTAACCAAGGTTTTACCCTCGATGTCACCTCTATCCAGTCTCCGTCCAACCAACCACCAACACAGCAAACAAAACCCCTCAACGTTCAGCCATCTCATCATCTCATCTCATCTGAGATTTTCTAGCGTTATACAACAGCGCAGATCACGCACCAGCCTTACTTACTCAGAGGACCCCACCCGGCCCAGCCACGGACGATATCGAGTCAGATACAGTGGAGTCCAATTTGCATCTGATAGATTAGCAATCGAGACTAGATACTACGTGCCGTTAATTCCGATATTTTCCAGCCCCTATAATAGTTAATTACTAGTCAGTTAAATACTACCTAAGGTACCAGCGCGTGCAAATTCTTCACATTCCCCTATCCCGTAAATTAGAGAGTAGTTATATGAAATGAGGACCCGGAAAACCCGACCCCACCCTTCGCACTGAGTAAGACGAACATCAGCCCGATGCCAACAACCCACTAAACAAACACCCTTTGCCAAGAGAAACAGACTGAAACAGAGGGGGGGGGGGGGGGGGGCCGGAGCGGAAATTGCTGGCATTATGTATGTATGTATCTTACCTCTGTAATTCTTCATACTCATATTACCTCGTATTGAAATACTCACAGCACAGGGCAACCATGATATACTACATAGTACATATTTGATCATTAATCATCTATTTATCTAGTATCTATCTATTCACCCATCTGTAAGGCTGTATATATATTGTCTGCCTGTACCCCAGTAACTCAATGAATAAACGGATAACCATTAAATATTACTAGTAAGTCATGATAGATTGGAAGTAGTAGTAGGCAGATATGCATATATTTCCGGGCGGGAGGGGATATTCAGAACCTAGTATTACTTAACTGTTGCTACTACGACTGTAACGGATTTGAAGCACTATGTACGTCAATACATTAACAACTGGCATATACATGCATACGAAAACACCAAAAATAGGGTTTATTGCTATATATACCTGAATCAGACAGCGAATGTCTTAGACATTGATGATGATGATGGGAAGTGATACCCTGCCACGATATGCTAGTGCTTATAGTTACTATAGTTGGGTATATGGTTGAGCTTAGGGAATGATGATATTGTAAACAGGGTACTACTATTGCAGTACTATATAATATGTAAGTTACAGTTAGTGCTTAGTAGGGATGGACTTTAGTACTAGCTAATCTCAACTCTTACAGTATTCCTTACTAGTACTACGGTCTCAATTTCAGTTTGATCTAATACACCTATAAATTCATAGTATAGTATGATATATATTGTAGTATAGAGTATACCACATAGTATCTCCAGTACAACACCACAGCACACTACACCACCACTTCGACATAACAAATAAACACATCCATAAAACCTGGCACTTAAATCTATTCCACTACTACTACTTGAAAACATTCCCAACCCAACAACTACTAATACAAAGAAACCCCCCCCCCCTTTTAGCAAATAAGCAAGTACTACTTACCAACACAGCACCCCAAATGTAACCTATCATATTAATCCCCTGACTGCGGAGTACTATATACCCGCTTACACAGATATTTGGACCCCAGACATGACAGATCTCAAGCAAGGCGTGCCCGAATTCCCCCCTCCCCCCCCCTCACCCCCCAAAAAGGGGGTATATAGTACCTAGATCGATGATCTAGTCAAGATCGGTTAATTCTGTTAGGTAATATTATTGATGTTTATTCAATTATTAGTTGGGGTATGGGGAATATTGACATTTATATACCAAGTATCTAGATACATGTGTGTATGTGATCTCTGAGGTTTGGTGGGGATTAATAATTGTTAGGGTCATGATTTCTTTGATGGATATGGGGGTGATTGGTACGTTGCTAAGTATTTGGTTTCATTCTTTACTGGCATATTGTTGGAGAGGTGAAGAGTGCAATACCATGATTGTGTAGACGGTCTTCGTATATCTCTCTGAGTGGCAGCCATCAATCAGAACCCGCCAAGGAGCTATTTTCTGAGTCTGAGAAAGTGGCTTGCTATGTGTTGGTGGCGTAGCTGGAGTATTTGAACTTCAGACAGGTAAGGAGCACAGTAACTTTATCGCATCAATAGTGTTCGGAGTTATTTAATCCCCGTGGTTTCATTGTGTACAGTAAGTATGTAATACCTCGTTCATTCAGTACTGTCATGATCATAATGAAAAGTTCCGAAACTCCATAGTTTGGGAATTATATATGCACATGTAAAATATGAACCAAAAAGCATCTCTCGCTATGCATCGTGTTGCGTGATCGTCTCACATCACAAAAAGCAAATTGGTATCTACCGGGCAATCAGTTAGTCAATGTCCGTCCTCGGAGAAACTAGTGACGCATGGCACCTACCTAATGGATGACTGCAGCTCAGCTGCGGCTTCTGCGAATACTTCCCCTCCAGTTCATTGCGAATCGAGTTCAGCAATTGCAGGTAGCTTTGGTTGGGTCGTTGCTGCAAGGTCTTGATGAATGCCCAGCTCAGGGCTCCTCGGGCTTCACCGTCTTGGAATGTGTCCGCACTGTAGATCAATGGGTAAGTAGGTGAACTAGAATCGAATAGGATAGGTAGGGCTACTTACGAGGTTTGGGTGTCCTTGGAGCCGGAGAACATGACCACATCGGCGGGCGAAGTCTTGGTCATGACGGTCCGTTGGCGCGCGGTGTCGCCGTTGGCAGCCTTCTTGAAAAAGCCGATAGCAGTTTGCGCGACACTGCTGAGATCGCCTTTTCCGTAGGAGTTGATGGCGCTGAATAGGTCCATCGCTGCTTCCTTGGCCAGGTTGGGTTCCTTCAGGATACCTTGCGTGGAATAGACATAAGGGAGATCGAGAGCGGTTCCGGAGTGGCAAGAGTCGAAAATGGCAGTTAGACGGACACCGGGGCGTAGTGGACGAACCCTGAACCATCAGTATCGACAAGGAAATAGATCACAAAGGGTGACTTACATGATGGCGTGCATGTCATCGTCCACGATATGTCCTGCCGTGCGGTAGTCGAGCGGGTAGATAACATCATCGTAGCCTGAGATGTCAGTTACAAGTCTTCTAGAGTCATTTGGGTGCGTCTTACCATCTTCCTCGTCACCATCAAGATCGGGTGTACGACCACCGTGTCCCGAGAAGTGTATGAATAGAGAGTCGTTGGGCTGCGCGTCCTTCACCAGCCATTGCATGGCTCTGAGGATGTTGGCCTTGTTCGGTATACTCATCGGGTTCTTCTGATCATCTGTGAGGATGACCATGTCCTCCCTGCGATATCCATACTTCTGGTTCAGGAACGTTGACATGTTCGTAACATCGTTGATACACCCGCGCAGCTGGTTCGGCTGCCCGATGTAATTGATACCAATTAAGAGGGCCTTACGCCGACCGGTACAGTTGGAATACTGGAAGCGGTAATTGGATGGGGCGCCCCTGCCAAAGTGCTGCGAATCCTGAGGCGGACGGGGCGGGAGGTTCTGACCCCATGACGGCGAGTGGTCTACATGAAGTTAGTATGGGTTGAGTCGCATGTTGTTAAGAAAGAGCTCTCTTACTGTGATAAGACCGTTGATGAGGTGAGGATGACTGAGGTGGCGGCGTAGGAGTATGGTGCTGGCCGTAGTAAGGGGAAGGTGCCGGAGACGGGTAACTACCAGGAGGAGGATAGTAGTGAGACGGCGGGGGGCCGGGGGGCGGTGAGTAATGAGAAGTCGGAGGTGGGCCTGGGGGAGGCTGGTATTGCGCGTTGGATGAGTATCTGGAGAGGCCGGTTAGGAGGTAATTCGCGCATAGTGTTCCTGGAAGGCTTACGGGTAAGGATAGGATGATGGTGGGGGTTGTCCCCACGATTGTTGCCGAGGGTAGTCACCAGACCAACCCTGGTGGGAGTGGTGGTAGTGCATCAATTACGGCGTGGGTAAATGAAACGGACGGGTGAAGGGAAAGTGTGCCGTGAGCAGGGGAGTCGCAATAGCAATTAAATATAACTTCAGCGAAGACCGAGCGTGGTATCAGAGTAAGCGACGAGGGGAAGTGGTGGTCTGTGTGTAGACGCTCGGTAGGGAAACAGTGGGGGATGGGTCGAGAACCAGTCCACCGGGTGTACGCTGAAGAACTTGGGGCAGAATCCTGGACTAGTCTGGAGATATGAAGAGCACGCGAGAATCCCGGATGACTGTATTGCAAGAAAAGAAAAGAAAAGGGAAGGGGAGCGAAGGGGAGAAAAACGGTGAACGGGTGGGATTTAAAGCAGGATGAATTGGATTCACTGGCCCGTCACAGGGCTGGCTGATGGCCCGTTCTCCACTGCCGGTGTTGAGTAGTGATTGGCTCGGTGATGGCTGTGTGGGTCGTGCACGAGGCGTAGGGCAGAAAGAAAGGTTGGAAATGGCTGTGGGAGTCGTGGCATTCGAGGGGGTTCGGCTTTATCGGCATCTCCTTATGCTCCCTTCTTCATTCTTGAGTCCTCGTCATCTGCTGCTTACAATATCCTGGAGGCTCGCGAGATGACAGAAAGACACTTAGCCTCTTTTCTGGATGTTTCGATGCACGCACATACACACCACACTTTCCTCATCGTCTTCATCTTTTTGAGATCGTTTCACCTGACCAACCACCTGGTCGGTTTCGTTGCCGATCCATCCCAATTTTAATGCGACTGAAGGCAGAAATACTAAAACCTAGTAATCATTTGGGCCTCTTACGTTGCCCTGGGCCCGATAAGGAACCCGCCAGGACGAATCTGCGGTCACAGCTCATCGTCTTCCATGGAACCACCGCCTCCTAGGTCCTCCCCGCTCGTCCCGTCGGGGCAACTTTCCGGAATGTTCGCTGCAGCCCTCTTTTAGGCACCAGCCAATCCCCTTGAAATGTCGTCCAGCAAGTTTGCCCGCCAATGCTGGTCATGCTGGGCGGTGTCTCCCTACATGCGCTGCTGATAGGTCTGCACTGCCCGCCCCCCAAGGCTATGTAGTGTTTGCAAGCGGGTAGGGCGATCAATATGGAAATGTGCTGTGCAAACTTGGCCGGGCGTTGAAGATCTGGGGTCACCTGGGCAAACGTGACCAATCCATTAGAAAGAAAATTGGGGCACTGGAGTGGCGCGGGGCATTAGTGTGAAGTAGATATGCAGAGTACTAAGTAGTCAGTAACTAAGTATCTTTGCATCATCATCAGCATCATCATCATCATCATCATCAACTGCTCTGGCTGCACTACTACCGATTTTTTCGGTCGGTCTTTCAGTTAGTTCTGCAGGATCATCCTAATCGGAGAGTCGTGGTGGTTGGACAAGCATGGTCTTATACATCTCTGCACCACAGTTATGCTCTGGCGGTGTCACCTGACGCCAGAGGATGCTGTCATCCGGACATGACACTCGTCAAGTCTGCATATCCCTGGCATCCTGGTGTCGCCAGTTTACGCAATCCTCCCCACGGTTAGAGTACAGTCAGCTTGGCACCGCACAACCTTGAGTACCTTTGAACTGCTCACATGCGTCCCTTTTATTCTTCTGCTTGTCTCTTGGGGCATGCTCTCTTTCCCAGCAATTTGAGCCAGGAGCTTTGTTAGCCGTGTCGAAGCAATTCAGCCATCATGCATTCAACAGGGCACTAGGTGTGTAAACCTAACAGCAATACATGAGGTCGAGCCCCGCCAAATGAATTCTATCGCCAAAGCAAATGGTGTCTTGACCCGACGTCAGTTCTACCGGACCAAGGAAAACTATCCCCTACGGAGCCTTTAAATAACCTGGTCGGCCTACAACTCATCGACACGCTGACTGTCGCTCTCTCTCAGCCTAACTGACCTTGACTCCGCATCTTGATTATCGGCTAGCCTTGCCTCTCGTGACCGCATCTTGGCGCTTGACCACAATCAGCATGGCGTGCGCCCTTCACAGCAACAACAACAGTCATCAAACGGAGCAAGCAGCAGCAATGCTCACCTCATTCGCCCGGACTTCCATGGATCCAGGATCCATGAGGTCCGCATGCACTGTGCCATCCCTTGGCCGGCCGATATGCGCACCCTCGGCCCCCGAGTCAAGTCTTGCGATCAGCGAGCATCGTGAGATTGTGCTTTGCGGAATAAGCCGCAGCGATCGTCCACGATGACGGCAGCAATGTATAGATCACAATCACCCCCGCAGTCACAGAGAAAACAAAGAACATGGCAAGTGCTTATCTCGACCGGCATATATCCTATTGGCAGCACAACATGCCACGGACCAGGCGTTGTTGCACGTTTGGGGCAATCGGCAAGGCTGTTAGCAAGCAAGCAAGTGCTGCCGCATCATCTCGACCACAAGTGCTTACCCATCAAGGGTCCAGAACACCATCATTCCCTGCTTGTTTGATGTGGTTCAAACGTGCAGCTCAGGGCTCCGTGCGTTCTCCCTTGATGGTGCTCGGTACCTGTTTCAGGCTATCCGGGCCTGTTACGCAAATTCGAGGCAGTGCAAGCGGGGTTGATGCGTGCCACGGGATGCCCCGGCCTTATCACCAGAATAGCACCGGGAGCCTGCTCCCAGTAGGACAACGGCCATTGGAGAGACAATTGGCGCTCTGATCATCGCAAAGTGGGATTGGAGGAGGATCAGGAGTTTGCTGATGAGTGAAGGATCTTCGTACGGAAATGCAGGATGACCCTGACGTAGCTCCGAAATACGGTTATCACCCGACCAAGATGACCAATGGCCCCTATGCGCGATATACCCACCGGTGGTTGCCGACGGGGTAATGGAAGGAAGGGGCCGCACTAGTAGATTGAGAGAATAATTAGATATCACCGCAGCCTCACGGGGGGTTATCAGCCTGAGGCATCAGTTAATAAACCGATTCAGCCGCAAAAGCGATGCGACTCGCCACCATTGGGTCTTGCCATTTGATTCGAGAGGGGGAGGTTTCATTTCAGCCTTCATATTTCAGCCTCCTCTTTACAGACTAATTTAGCTCAAGGTTTCGTATTGACATTTAAAACCCACCGAAGAAGGGAATTCCGTGACCGGGTTGGGCGATCGGGAGATGGGAGACACGCGGCTCCGCAGGTGACTTGAGATGGAGGCTTTTGAGGCTGCAAATGATGGCAGCCGCGCAGGTCCGATGGAATGATGGCATTTTATTCGAAATCAGTTAGTCTAGTAAGTAGTAGTACCCAGCTAGTACTCCGTAGTCCCCAGTCGTCCCCGGTCACTTCCAGCCCGCCGCCTCCCTTGCGTAACTTCCTTCGCCTTCCAATCCCCTTCAATCATCAGGGCTCCTTTAATTTTTACTACGCCTTGGCCACGGCTGCGTCTCCATCCGGCTGGGCAGTTGAGCCTCCAAATTGTTTTTTGGTTTGGTTTTTTTCTGTTTTGTTTTTGTTACTGCCTGTCTGGCTTGGCCTCTCTTGAGAGTCTGGTCCGATTGCCAACTCCGAAGGGGGCAAAAAGAGGTGTGCCGTTTCTACGGTCGGTCATTGCTAAAATTAGCGTGGGACCAGTTGGTAGAAGTAGTGGTAGTAGTGATAGTAGTAACAATGCCACTGCCTAAACAGTGGCAGTCAAGTTCAGTCAGTCGCACGGCTCACTCGAATGCAGCCTTGCCCAGGTTGTCCCTTGGTAACGCGCCGAAAAAGAACTTTCATTCCCCCACTGAGGCTCTCCCTCCCCCATTTCATAACTAAATTGTCTCATCACTCCCCGTTTTGGGTTTACCGCTTGACCGCCCCTCTCCTCATCAAGCTAAGCTGAAAGGGAGTCGCTGCTGATGCCTTGTCTCGCGGACTGTCGCACTGTGCCGCTTGGACTATCTCCTACGGAATAGCTAGGCTGATGAATGATCCATTCCTCCTCCTGCCTCCCAGTATGCTCCCGCGTCCCTTTGCCCAATGATATTGCTTCTCGGACCTAATATCCCACTTTTCCATTCTTTCGCCCCTCCGGCGTATCTCATGTAAAGCTTACCCTGGCACAGAGCCGCATCATTGAAGTCTACTAGTTAAACCATGGCAGCTGTTCAACAGCTCCCCTATCCAGTCGCGTCCATGTGTCCAGTGCATGGCTATTTGTTGTCTAAAGTGTTGTCCCACTAAACCTTATTTTCTTTCCAAAGTGGATCGCTGTATTCCCTACCAACACTCTGTATACTATACTATCTGGCCGCCTCTGATCAACAGTGAATACAAGTACCAACATTCACGTTCGGGCACTAACATCTCACTGATCGACTGACGTTGTGTTTAACCATACGTGGGCTCATCTGCGCCATTATTCCTATCGATTCTCATATTCTCACCCATATTGGTGTCTCGTCGATGGTATAAGTGCGGTGTGGCAGTGCGCGCATCCTTTCCCTCTTCCTTCTCCTTCTCCTCCGCTCTCCATATATGGTGCGCAGCTCTGCCATTCGCCATGGTCACATCTGGAATGGTCAGAAATCTGGACTGCATCCCTTATGATGTTTTCTACCAAGTGGCCTCTACCCTCGACTGTCACGACCTCATTCATCTTAGCCGCGTTAACCGAGCATTAAATCATTTGGTGCAAAATGAATCAATTGCGCGTAAAACAATTCAAGTAAGTGGCACCGCAGTGTTTGTGAATTGGGGTTTGTACTGACTGTTCTAGAATGACTTACTGCACACAAAGGAAGGACAAGAGGCAGACCAGGCCAAGTCTGGATACCGCAGAGCTCTTGGGCGCCTATTCGACATCAAGGAATCAGTCGCAACGGCACAGCCGTACTCTGCTTCCATTCTGGCTTATGCGAGCTCCTTCATCTACAGTGAAGGCTGTCTCAGCTACATCTACAACGATGAAATCCGTGTCCTAGATGTGCACGGTGCCGGCCAAGTTGAGCAGGTGCTGAACATCCACAATGTTCTATCCCGGGCCATCCAAGGGTGCAACCCACAGACAGATACGTTCCAGGTCTGCCTCATGTACTACAGTAACTGGGTTCTGGCATTCACAGTGGAGTTTGTAGATAGGCCTGAAGCTTGGCTTCTGGTAGTGGACATGCGCCGCAAATTGAACAACAAGAAATGTGGTCGGCTACGTCTCCTGACAAGGCTCCAACACACACGACGATTATTCGTTCGACACAATGGCTCCTATCTATACTATGGAACGCACACCGCAGTGGGTGATCGTGGCTATTCACAATGGGCGATTCATTGTGCGGATCTCAAGATAAGCCAGCACCTGACGGAAAAGCCAACCGTGCTGGAAAATTTCGCCGGCAGCGAGATTGGTCAGACCGTATGCTTTGAAGTTCATCAGGACCATCTCTACGCAGTGTCTACACTCGTGGACTTTGAAGCGGAGGAAGTCGATTGGACTTCGTACTACGTGTGGCTTTGCATTCCTCCCAAATCTAACGCTGCCAAACGATTCATTACGCCCAACCGTACTTGGCGTCGTCAGCATCGTGAAGGCCCGATCAATGACACCTGGTCAGATCTCACGCTGCGTCAGGATGAGGCAACCAAGCGACTGATGATTCTCGAATGCCGCCGGGAATGGCGCGATGGTCGGAGTGAAAATGCACGCACATACTACATGCAGCCTTTGCCGTCCCCAGCCGAAGCCACTCAGAATAAACAGCAAGGCTTGGATGCCACAGCCAACGCAACGCCCGTCACCCTCCCTGACGAACCTCTCACCAGAACCCTCGACTCCACCAGCAAACCCAATTACGAACCCCCGCGTAAGCGTCTACGCCGACATTTCCACCAGGAATACGCTCACGGTGCGGAACCGGCCCAACGACATGACTACATTCTTGCCAAAACCAAGTTCCGCAGCTACAACCTCTCCGCTTCGACGTTTGTCGATCTGGTCAATGACCCCTCCCCGGACACGCCCGGCAGCTTCATCCCGCATGACCGACTCCGTGTGCGCACGGTATCACGCAAACGCAAATGTCCCATTGACGAGAACGGGGATGAAGGCGAACCCGGCCTGCTCTTCCGTCCCGAACTCAGCGATGCGGATGGCCAGCCGATTGAGCACAGCGAAGAACGCTACGCCTCACGCGGGGTCCGTCTGTGGCCTCCCGACAACGCCCCGCGGGAATTAACTCAGCTCCTCTGCCCATCGAAGCGCTGTGGCCCCGTTCAGGCAGCCGCCGACGAGCGGTCCCTTGTGTACTCGGTCGATCAGGATGGCCTGGAAGGGACCGGGCATCAGGCGATCGTGCTGATCAATTTCGACCCGTCGCTACGCCTGCCCGGCTTACAGAGCATGAATCTCACCCGTAGTGGAGCAGGTGCCCTGCCAGCGGACGAGCGCGATGCCCCAGTGGCCATGGAGCGACCGGCTATCGGAGATATCGGACGCGAACGAGTAGGCGTGCACACATGTACCGGCAGTCGAAAGGCGAACCAGCCGGTGCCATCTGTCCGTGAGGAACAGGCCCTGTATCTTTCTATTCGACGGGGGTATTGGCTTCGGTAAGGTGTGATGAGTGTGAGTTGAGTTGCACTGCCCTGGCACCGGACGAGGCTGTGCAAGGGTTTTTTATTACCGGTATGTGCCTAGTTAGCTAGCAAGCGGGTTTTACCTCATGTCTGAGACAGGGGTGGAAACACACACCCACGCACCACCACCATCACCAAACATACCATAATATCCTAGAATAGATGATCTAAATGATAATGAATGGAAAAAAAAAATTACTTCAAGCTCACTAGTGTGGTGTGCGTGCGCGTATATCATGATTATTCTTGTTCTTCTCTCACAATGTAGGGTGGTTGGGGTCGTGTGTGCCGGGTGAGCTGATCGGATCGTTAGCTGTCAGCTTACTATCTTCTTACTTGACTGGTCTTATTCTGACCACTTGGCTGAAACAAGTAGCGTCGTGGCACGCAATTGATTCAGTTCGTACATTCGTCTAATCCCTTGGCCAGAAGGGAAAAAAGAAATTATAAGAAGGTCCTGACAAAGATACCTGCAGGAAGGATCCGAGTTCGAACAGACAGACAACACAACCGAAAGGATTCAAGGCCCTATCTTTTACACCTCGCACCGGTTACTCATGAGGGACCGTTATCCATACCATTTAGAGTAAGGTAAGCAACTTATCTATACCACTTAAGGTAAGCTGTACGTTGAACGAATGGGGATGAGGTATTAAGTACCGGTGGGGAGTGGATATTAAACGGCTTGTCTCAGGATTCTTATGGGGTCAAATGGTGTGAGATGGATCTATTCGATCCTAGCGCATGTCCACTACGTAGTAGATAACTATAGTAGTTCGTCATTTACCGACGGTAAAGATCTTGTTACAGATATAGTAATAGCTAGATGGGGTTCAGACTTGTGGATTTGTCAGGTAGCTTACTTTCCTGCGGAATTCTGTCCGTTGCATATCTTGTTAATTGTTGGAGTATTCGGCTTGTTGACTCGTATGGATGCCTGACTGACTCGTATGCGTCAGGTGATTGGGGCTCCTTTCTACTTTCTGTTGGGGTTTATGACTTTCTTCCTTCTTGGCCATTGAACACAGGCCCGTTGTGGTTACTATCGTTCTTAGAGCGACTTCTCGTAATCTGGTCTTGAGGACTGGCTCGCTGATGCACTTAAATGATGTCTCCATTGCATGAAAGAGTACTAACGAGGATGTACATTGTTGCAGTCTGCTAGCATTCTATACCTTTTCCTTTCCCTTTGGCTCCATACCTCCTATTTCCTACGGAGCGGTTATCAGCAGGGAAAACTGTAAGTCAATCACTCCCCAACCAACCCCCGAAGCTGGGGAAACCGCTGCTCCAACTCATTTGACCGTGCTTTCCATTCAGGATATTCTTTGGTACCAACGCGACTAGCGCGCCACATCCCCGCAATCCCAGATCCCATACCAAAAGCACAGGACCCCAAGAACGCAATTGGGAATACGGCAGGGAACGCTCCCACTAAGAGAGCAGATCCAGCCCCGCCAACCCATGATGCCACGCCAGCAGTCCAGCTTGACAGGAATATTCTCCCATGAAATTGTTCAATGGCAAACTCGAGGGTCTGTAGGCGAGACACGCACACAAAAAGCAGCAGTCGTCGCAGGATGTCCTTTTCCTCAGGGTCTGGCAGAATCATACATGCAAGGCGGATGGTGAAGTCGGAACAGTTCCACCAGATCGAGTCATATCTTCCCCATGCTGTTCGCAGGGGTTTATAGACTAACCGATCCGCTTTGATTAGTTCTGGTAGGTGGCATGAAGGTCAGAGGGGCGGGGTGTTGACTTACACGACTCGGTTATTGCTTCGTTGTCGTAAGTGACCAACCCGATCTCAACGATCCCATCTATGCTCCGAATCTTCTCCTCTCCCAAGCAGACGCCTCCACCTTCCTCGTCAGTTATATTGGGGCCGACGAGCTCGAAGAATGATCCACGTTGGAATTTCTGCAGCAGGTCCGTTGTTCCATCCATCCAAACCGCCTCTGGCACCAAACAAACGGCAAAATGACGCATGAATCCGGGTGGTTCTGGAAGTGACCCAGTCTGGTTTCTGTTCCGGTAATTCCAGGGAGAGTCGCTTTCAATCCCTATGGCATCCTTGATTGCCTTGTAGGATCTGCCCGACTTTACTGTCACAACGAGAACGACACGTTTGCACCAAGCATCTGTGAGAATGAGAACCATATCATCGAACTGAAGTTAGAGGGAGGAACATACTTCGCGCCTGTCCATCATGATCGTGGCTGGTCTGTTGCTCGCAGGGAAACCATTGCTTGATAGCCCTGAATGCAGCCACCACAAAGCCATAGAGTTCCACGGTGGCTTCACGAACCTCTTTCATGACAGCCACCACCAGTGGGCGGACTTTCGCAGCATATCAACCGTCCCTGCTCTTATAGCTTCCAATTTGACTCTGAGAAGCGTCAGGATACGTCTCCAAGCGGCTGAGCGCTGAGAGACAAACTGCCAGCACAAGGCACTGGCCTTCCCTTTCAGCCACCGAAATGTCTGTACTGGAACGTTTCTGATCAATATCCAACCAACGATTATGGAGAGTACAGCAGTAGACAAGAAGTTGAGGATGACCTTGACTCCGTCAAGCTTCACTGCGCCTGCCAAGAAGATCAGAAGGAGGATTTCAGGACGTGTGTATATCCTGGTCATTTTCACTTTCTGGGTTGAACGACGACGGGTGTAGGAGGCAGGTATATCTAGTGCAACTGTCCGAGAAATATCAAGCGTGGGATGGGAAAGAAGAGGAGGAAATAGCATGCCTGTGACATGAACAGGCTATATTCAAGTGCTCGCTGCAGTGATCTAACTGATTGGCATTGTTCAATTGGCGTATCTCGACCACCCAGAGCCTCATCGCTTTCCTCTGATAGCCACAGCCTTCGCCACCATCGGATCTTTCCTCGGTCTTGCCTTAACTCCGATATTTGGTCGGGGATATTGAGTCGAGGTCATGTCGAATCCTAAGACAGTAAGTATTGTTGGTCACTGAGCCCTGGGTCTCAGCGCCTACGAGCGTTTACCCAGCGACACATCCTATCCAATCAATCCAACATATGAGATGTAGCAGACTAGTTTCATTGGCCATGAAAGCCCGTTGGATTGTGTCTCTGTATACCGATAGAAAACTCTGTGAAGATGGTTCAGTTGGTTCGGTTGATCGATTGCTTGGTCGGTTGTTGATAGTCGTCGCTCAACCGGGCCTCAAATACGCCGCTGTCTGTTTTCCGGCAGCCTTCCATACTTCCAAATGTATTCTAAGTCTTCTGATGCGCCTCACTTGTTACTGAGCCGTATTAATTCAATACCTCGGATGCCGTGTTGCCGATTATCAGCTGGCTGTACACCTTTTCTCCATTCTACTAACTCCTGCCACCCGCACAACAATGAAACGCCTCATCAGCACAGGAGTCTCCGTACGACAATAAAAGTGATCATCTGTACTAATAACACGAAAAAAAAGCTTTCTTACCGGATTTCAACTTATTATATGATACTGGATACAGTAATGGTTACACCGGGACTTGGGGTTTCCGGTCATATCGGCCTTGTGGAGTATAGAATGCAACTTACATTGCTGCGGCTGATCGAAACAGGCAAGTTGATTTATTTTATTCTATTTTTTTCCCCCTTTTCTTTATTTGTTGTAATTTATCATCTAGTAATTTTCCCATCTTGTCTAATCTTCTTCAATAACCAAACTATATTTAAAAACCGTTAAGAAGAGGAACAATTTTATTCGCGTATGACAACGATGCAGCCTTTCTTAACACTTATTGGAGTTAAACGGAGCAGGTAGTAGTTAGTAGTATGAATTGGGTGTGAAACATACTGCTTAAGAAGCAAAAACATATGTTAAGATAGCTAGCACGCAAGTGACAGGGTTTAATCATAATTACTCCTTCCTATCTACACTCCATTGAGGATTGATCGATCACCGTCTTCACAAATCTCTATCAAAGGCTTGCTTAAAACCTACTTGAAAGATCTTTCTCATCTTGCCCGATATACATCGCCGTATCAACCCACGTAGACAGACCTTTCCAGAGAGAAAACAATCCACAGCACAATATTTTGATATATTGTCGATAGAAGTATACTTGGAAAGAGTGTTGTTTTTTTGAAATCCAAAAATCTTGTTTCCTATGCACCATGCACCATGGGTTTCCATTCCCACACCCACACCCACTCACAACCCCCTCTCTATTGCAGGGTTACATATCCTGCAATCACCCAAGAAATTGTTCCAGAGAGATAGACAAGAATGATATGTTCCATCAGAGTATAAGATGTTGGACGTATTGGCAAAGTCGTGCACTATACCGTCGTTGATTGCCATGAAACCTCGACGTTCGGCAAAAGAGGGGACGGCCAGTCCAGCTCTGGTAGAGAGAGGGCGACCCGGTACCGGAGAAGAAGAAGAAGTTCATCGTTCTGTGGCTGCCACCGGTGTTGCGATCCGCCAGGTTGATCCTCGTCGAATTCCATGTCGTCGTCGACGCGGCTCGGTGTGGTAGGGCGAGGAGGTGGAGTGACATTTGCGTCGTCGGACTCGCTAGCGGTGTCATCTGCATCGTTTTCGTTAGCAGTGTCGGTGCGAGAAGGTGGAGCGACATTCGTGTTGTCGGTCTCGTTAGTGGTGTCGTTCGCCTAGTCAGTTTCGTTCACCGTGTCGTTGGCGTGACAAGAGCCTTGACAGGAAGTCGATGCTTCTTAGCTAAGGAAATAGCATGTGTAAGGGATATTTCCAAGAAGAGAGTGAGAAGCTGCACGGCTTTGCTTACACCTGCTGCAGCCCAGGTATATCCCTCTCTTGTTAGGATGCTCCCAATTGTATAGCTCAGACCACCGTCCAACTCTGCCCTGGTAAACTCTTCGAAGAACTTGGTCAACCTGAAATTATTCCCAAGTGGAACGGTTAGCTTGGAATTCCATCTGCTCTCTGACTCCTGACTATGCTAGGAGGTTTGTGGTCTAGCCGGTAAGTAAGTTTGTTGCGTGTTTTGATCTCGACAAATTTGGGCGCTTGTGAAGGTAGGTTCGTCCCAGGATGTGAGATGTTGTATGAGTAGCTGGATACTTTTGGGATCAGCCGCCACAATGTCTTCTCTTCTCTCCTTCTTCGTTTGTATCCTCTGGTTTTTGGTTTTTCTTCTGGCGGGAATATTGCAGAGGTTGATTGAGGAACTGTATGTTGCTTTGTATTGTCTTCCGCTTCCAGTGAGAGTGGCGCCCATCCTGGGAGCCAGAAACAGGTAGTATATCCATAATCATATGGTGTGTGGCATGGTCATTCGCTTTGGGGTAATATGACTCTGCGATGTGAGAGCCGGTCAAATGGGTCTTTTTTTGGTGCATCTAGACTAGAATTTTGAGCCACCAGGCTCAGGTGCGCATCCCTTATCAGCTTGACCCCTTAAGGGGCCGTCACACTGCGATTGGAAATGAGAAGAGCGTTGATCTCGGATACATATTGCCTAGGATTATTATATTGCGTTAGTTCAGTTGTGAGGACACTGTGAACAGGAGGAATCCACTAACCTTCCCAATGGTTGGAGCCACTGGCACCTCTTCTAGACTGGGGAAACCGAAGCCGAAAGTTTCCACGTGGACAGATGCCCATTGTATAGTATATATGACATAGTGTCCATGTTCTGTGAAGCGTACAGAGTAGAAAATATATCATGTATATAGACAGCGCTTGATTCCAGATTGCTGTTCCTCGAAGACCTTTTCAGCACTCTTCCAGGTTATCCGGCCAAGGCAGGTTTGGCCCAGTGACATGCGAATAATTCTTCTTGATATGGACAACCCATGTCACTTCTTCCTGATTGTACATACCATCCCTGTGCCAGCCGTTTTTGTCGCCCATGTGCCGGACTAGGGATATTTGCCTTGGTAAGTACGCACCACAGTGGGAAGAATTTCGCAAGGACAATTCCTTCTTCTTCTCTTCTTCGGCGCTTTGGTAGTTTTCAGGGGCTTGAGTCTCATAAGAGTAGAAGCCTTGATCCGTCATCTTCATCTCAATGCCACACAAGAAGATTATCATATCTCAGTTGTTCTGGAGACTGGGCTTTTGCCTTCCTTGTGTCCGGGGACGACAGGGCAAAGTGTCAAGAGCCATGTTAGATGGCGGGCTTGTGACTTTTCCACCATTATATAGGTTAAGCTTATAGGTTAAATTCCGCGATTTTCGTGTCTCTTTGGGCTGAAGCCGGATAGTAGATAGAACTGACGGTTGTCAAAAACGCTAGCGGCCTGGGCGAAGCAAACCCCAATCGGCTGCCCTAGTTGGCACCCATCTTCGGTACCGTTCTCGTGGTGACGATGCGAAGTTAGAATCTGGTTTTGTCAAGGATATCGCATGTCTTTTTGTTGGGAGCTTTTCCGTTTTTGTCAGCATTTGTGTCCCTCTAGGCTGCTTCAAGAAACGTGCTAGCTCCGACAGGTGCCATATGCAGTGGGCTGGGCCAGACCCCAAAGGACCACGATCGGCTGCCGTAGATAGTACCCTTCTGTTTGTATCTTTATATGGTGGTACAGACGGTGGCAGGTCTGGATCGATCAAGAGTGCTGTATCTCTTTCTGTTGAGAAGACTTTTAAGGTCTCTCAAGATCACCATACCTCTCTAGTCTAAAGCCAAAGACGTATATATATTCGACGGGGTTAGATGTTCTCGCAGGCTGAGCCAGAGATTGAAACCGCGATCGGATGCCGCAGATAGCACCTCTCTATCCTTCCGTGCCTTTGTTAAATGATACATACTAATATGCCAGGTCGGGGTCTATCAGTGCTGCATCTCGTTTGTTGAGAACTTTTGTGTTTTCTCAACGCCTGCGTCCCTTAAGGCCAAAGCTAGGCGTCTTTATAAATTTGACGGAGCGCAGATGCACTAGCGGCTTGGGTCAAGCAACCCCGAACGGCTGTTCCAGATGCCATCCTTTTTTCATCTGTATATCTTTTGATGATATAACGTTATTCCGGTTGTCTTCTGCAGCACCTCTTTCGTTAAGAGCTCTCTTGTGAAGCCAGAGATGGGCTATATAATTCTGACACCTGTCAGAAGCAGCTGTGAGAGCCAATCAAATAATCCTATTCGGTGCGTCCAAACTAGAATATCGAACATGAGAGGGCAAAGGAAGGAGTGTGGGGGATCGCGTGCGAACAACACAAACAGAACAACCAACGTAAGCAAAACTATGTCACATTCCTCAGTCACGTCGCTCGCCATCACAGCAGCGAGCTAAGTCTGACAGACAAACCGACCACAATCGGCTGCCTTAGATGGCACCCTTGGTCATCTGCATCATTCTATGATGATAGAACGATGGACCTGGCCATCCCGAAAGTATCGTGTGTCCCTTTGTTGAGAGTTCATCCGTGCTGGGGAATCTGGATGGTTTTAGTTTTTGATGCTATCTCTTGAGCTATTATGATGGCATAAAGTATGAAGGAGTAACAGAAGGGATAGGGACATACCATAAACAACCCAGCCCACCGCTGCTTAACTTCCTCGCTGTCAGATTCGCAGGCCTCGTTTTGAGCCTATGTACCTAGTATGAAGCAGGATGTGCTTTTGCCTGCGACTGGCAAGTGTCCGTAGTACAGCTCAAATACGTCTTGAACATGGTGCTAAGTAGATCAAAAC